CAGCCAAGAACTAAATTATCCTAATCCCACTTTATCTTTTCAGATACAACCAGAAATCCCAAAGCTACTAAATTTAGAGAGTTCCAGGTTGGTACAAATAACAGTCTCTGCTCTGGAGCAGAAAATAATTTGCTTTTACTGCATTTTTACATGCATTTCTTTGTTTAGGATTAAAAGACATTAATAATATATCTCATATTTGAATATATCTCATAAGTGAAACTAAGAACTGTTTTTTCATTGCAGACAATGAACTGTTTCTATCAATGCATAAAATCAATGACTGCCACTATTGATGTTAAATCAAATGTATTCAGATTTGTATTTGCATCTTTGATGGTTGTTTAATTCATTGCTACATCAGTTTTTCTGTTCAACGATTCAATGATATAAAGAGAGTTAACGTAATTATTCTTGAAAATGGACACCTGACAATTTAGAAATACTAAAATAAAGTCTGACCTAGTCCAGGGGGTTTTCAAACTTTTTAATGCCAAGGAAACATATAAAGATAATATTTTAATCAATTTTATTTAAAATCTTGATTGATTATTAGCTTTTATTTGTTATTGTACTAAAGCCAAAACACATTACTGAAAGTAAGAAAGAAAATCCAAGAAATATACCTCAAATAAAACTATTCTTAAAAAAAACAACAACATTGATTTATTTCTGCATTGTTGGTTCCCTTTCATTAAAAGCATGACTTGCATGTAAATCTGTATTGTCAGATGAAAGACTGGTCAGAGCAGTTTAAGACTGCAATAGACTATTGATTGGTTTTTGAAAATGATGTGGTAAAGGCTGAGGATGAGTGTGTGCGAGTGGGACTGAATCAGTGATTAGATTTGGATAAAATGATCCAGCAATCTGTTGTTAGTATTCATCAGTCATGGTGAAACGGTTCCCTCATTATTGATTCAAACAGAGACATCATCACCTACACAACATGGCCCGAAAGTTCATACGAAAGCACAGTGAGCAGAAAATTACTCTGAAACAATGGTGATAAGCATAACCTACAGTAATAGTACTCTGTCCCACTCCTACACATATTCAATATTCAAATATATTCTGAACAAATAGATTCAAGAGTCAGAACAAAGAAAGCTGACTAAAATGCATGTTAAATTAGAATGGGGAAACATGGAAAGCATTTTGTGCCCACTCATATTACAGTTTTAAAACATCACATATACTACAAATTACTAGTTAGCAATTTGTAAATTAGTGGTGTTTGCTGTCCTGGTGTTTGCTATCATTAGGTGAGGTGTCTGTCTGTCTGTCTATCTATCTATTTAAAAATGTAAATTAAAAAGTAAAATTGTGACATTTTTCAAAACAAGTGAGGTCATTTTATCACAAAATTGTCACTGTAGTAATGTAAAAAATTTCACTCTCATTACTGTAAATTGGAAAACATTAATATACAAATTAAATGTTTAAAATAAATATCATATGATAAATTATACTGCCTTAAATGAACTACTTTTGCGTATGATGTACCTCATTAATTAATTGACTATGAATAAATTACAAAATAGTATCAGTAAATGTATTTTTTTTATTAAAACTATTCAAAAACAGTTTTTAACATAGTATATAAAAAAATACTATATTATAGAAATGAAAATCATCATAAAAATATTGATAAAAGACAATACAAGATGCATTAAAATTAAGGATAAAATGCACTAATAGTAGACCTTTATTTTGTTTATACAAAATAAGTATAAACAAAACAAAAAAATGCTTTGCACTGTATATTGATCTTGGTATGGGGGCTTTTGTAACCACTCAGAATACCCTAGCAACACCCTTGAAATCACCCACAATACCCTACCATGACCAGCACCACTCAAATTTTTGTAAAAATGTAAATAATCATCCTTATATAAAGAAAAATATAAATAAACACAAATGTTTCCAGCAAGTATACAAGATACACTGAGATTTTAATCTAAAATCATCACTTGAAAAACACTATTTCCAAAGCCCCAGCCCAGGGTTCCAGTACACCCTGGAAATATATACCTGTATAATGAATAATGTTCCTATAAAACACATTCAAAAGTATTATTACCAGAACTCAACACTTTTCTCAATAGACTGACTTTCAAAACATTGCATATCCTACAGAGCAAGATTTGATTCGAGTCACAGCGAGTTATAGCGAAGTCCAGGTTATTCTGATCACCCCATGTATGTATGATTCCAATCTGATTTCCTTTGAGAATCGGACAACCTTGAACCAGAGGAATCCTGTTTCTCTGTCACACTGCGGCTCTTTCTGCCCACGCTCCGCCATCTACTGCAAGCTTCCAAAACAAGTGTGACAAACCTCTTACTTACAGACACAAACTCAGCCTCACATTCCCACACCTCTAACTCTACGCCCTGCCAAGATGATCAAGTTTCTCCCCGAGTTTCTGCGAGCACCACCCCCGGCCTCAATACAAACAGACGTCTGCGCTCATCTCCACCCTCGCCGCTAACTCTGGCTCCTCCGCGCTCCATTCACCCAGCCAAGACGAAGCGAATTTCAGCTCAGGCTTTACAGACCATCTCAATTGAGGGTGCAGAGAGGAGGCAGAAACTGAGAGGGAACAAAAAATATGGAAAGCGAAGCAGTGGGGCTGCAAATCCATTCCTGTCTTAGCACATTGCAAGCATCGCACTTCCCTTAGGACTACCATCAACCACTGCTAAACTGGGACAGGAAGAGAGCGAAAGAGCTTATTGACGGCCACTAAATTTTTGTGACGCAGCTAAATAGCATCAGACGGTGTCACAATAGAAATGAGAACCAACACTATTAAATTTCCATAGCTCTTGTTACAAGCTCTGAATTAAGTTTTAATAGCTTACCGTGGCTTAATCTGTTGTCTGTTCATCAACAAAAATTTTGATTTATGTGTCAAAAGCATTTTTCGCAGCAATGCCATGGCATAGAAGAACTTGTCCTTTTTTGGTTCCCCAAAGAACCTTTCAGCAAATAGTTCTTAAAAGAACCATGATTTTCATTTTAATAATTTTTAATAATCTAAAGGACGTTTTAATGATCTAAAGAATCTTTTCCACTATAAAGAACATTTTTGGAATGGAAAGGTCCCATGGATGTTAAAGGTTCCAAATGGAACCATCATTGCCAATAAAGAACCTTTATTTTAAAGAGTAAAAGGCGTAATGTATTTACAGCGTCCTTGACAGTAATGTCCTTAAGTCAGTACAAGACTGTGGCAACTGTTCATGTTTTTCAAGGTAGTTAATTACATAAAGAAAAAAAATTAATGAAACAACTCTCTTATCTATCAGAAGTGTAAATGAATTAGGCTTTCAAAATCAAAGGTTTCCATTAATTAAAGGTAGATGTGTAAATTTCAAATCCAATTAAAAATATAAAGCTTGGGGTCTAAAAATGAAATCTCACACTCTAAAAAATGCTGGGTTGTTTCAACCCAACTTTGGGTCAAATATGGACTAACCCAACCGTTGGGTTAAATTTTTACATTACATTTTTAACCCAAAAGTTGGGTTAGTCCATATTTGACCCAAAGTTGGGTTGAAACAACCCAGCATTTTTTAGAGTGCATTGCTGCATTTCCCCTAAAACACAAATTTTCCAGAACAGCATGGGTGAGCCTAAATGAAAATGGAACTTGTTCACAAAAAGACATAGCATTGACGATTATTTAACAACTTGAGCATAGGATGGATCTAACTGCACATAAACCATCAAACTAGACGTGAATTAAATGTGATATTCTTAGCAAAAGAGAAGGGCTTTTACATTGTTTACAAAGAAATTCTCAATCCAAGCAACTTCCTCACTCACGCCTCTCGAAGCCACTCTAACACTGCAATTTTACTAAAATGCCTCCATTATTTTTCAGGCACGAGACAACTGTTCTTTGCTATTCAAACAATCCCACAGTTGTGTTGATGATGGGTCTTATTATACAGCATGCTGGAAACATGGAGTCAGCTGAAAACATTGGAGATGTCATAAATGGCAGCAAGTTCACAACAGTTTCTGCATTGTGGACTAAACATTCATGATAAACCCAGAACAAGATGCTATCTGTGTCCTCACTGGATTTAATTTTTTATAAGGAAATCGTTGCTGCTGTTGAAGTATTTTATTTTTATTTCATTTCTGAACAGACTGGATTTGTGCTGTAGATTAACGCAGATGAGAATTAGTTTCACAGCCGGCAAGTGACCTTCAACATTGAAGAATATTTCAAATAATGTCAGTTGTTGAATCAATGTTTAAAAAATGTTGATACAATGTGTATGCTAATGGTTGTGAAAAGGTTAACAAAATACTTTTGAATCAACATTGAAGTTTGAACAAGATCTGAAAATTAAGCAAGTTGAAACGACGGCAGAATATCAATGTCGATTTGATTTGTGAAATCAAAACAAAATCCAACAGTGATTCAACCTTGATCTATGACAGTGATAAAAACGCTAAATAAACATTAAAATGCCGAATGGGTCAAATTAAAGGGACAGTTTACCCAAAAATTGAAATTCTACCATCATTTACCCTCATGTCAGCAGAAGATAGGACAATGTTCTCCAGCTGAAACGTTTTATGGTTGTTCTTGTCGCCAGGGAGGCCGTATTAACAGGATACTTTATATAAAGCGAGCTGTCACCAAACCCAATGTTCAGAGGGGCCGAGGTAGGGTACACCAGGGTGGAGGAGCTAGAGACATTATCTTGATGAAGCTGTGATCAATACAGACAGAGTAAGCCAATGAAAACCAGATAGCATCTCTTTTAATTGAGATTAGACTCTGCAAGTTCAACGTGTGCCCATCTGATTTAAGAGACGGCTCGGTCTCCCCAGTTAACTCTTCATGGTGGGAATCAATTATGGCTTCTTCTCTGACATGCAACCTCAGAGAGCCGAGATCTGGACTTCAGGTGTTGTAGAGAAGGGGGAGATCGTTGCCTGTTCTCTATTGGGTTTCATGTCTGTGGATACATACCTCCTTTTCTACAAATTTTCTTGCCGGGTTTTCTGGCACATTCCTTGGATATTCTTTTTACTGCAAAATGAATAGAAGACTAAAAAATAACATGGGAGTCCGTTATGGACATCAGGAGCATGCAACAGCACAACTTGACTGAAAGAGGAAGAGAAGAGTTTAAAGAGAAGTAGTTCTCTGACTTAAAACATCATTATCATCATGAGTACTGCACAAAATATTCCTCCTTTATGGTTCATTTATGGGTTGTTTACACTAAAGTGTGTGTCTGTATAACAAGTAAAGGAAGGGAAAGAAAACCCGACCACCTAAAATGGACGTGCTGCAGCACACAGAGAGATTTGCATGTGCAGGGGATGGTGGGAAGGTTAGGACACACGTACAGCCTCACTCACACGCACGCTCGCTCACACGCATTATGCAGCGGCATGCATCGGACATGCAGATATCATGCAAATTTTTTTTTCCGCTGCACTCACTACATTCTGCACAAAGGAAACTGACACAGTGAGATGACAAAGACAGGTCTGTCCGTCCTGCCCGCACATCAACTCACCATCCTCCATTGGCACGTATATGTTTAAGAATAAGCAATCCTCGCTCTGGTGCTGTACGTAAGACGAGACCACTTCAACACTGTTAGTGAACCAAACCGGCAGCATAACGTCCGGTAGCCTGCCCTCCAGCAGGGTTTGGGGACATACGGGGCCAAACTGAGTTGCGTTACGGATATCTGACCATGAAACAGGCGGCTCGGGCGGTTGGAAGCGCCTTTCGCCTGTGGGAGGTGCTGCGTAGGGGACACCCAGGAACTGGATGACAGGCCCCAGAATCTCATTGTTGAGTTCCTTTTTGAATCCCCGCAGTTTGCCGTAAGTTGTAGTGACAACGGGGTCCGTTTCGTCCAGTTTTTGCGAGGTTGCCAGCTGGGTGTGCAGGGCCAAGCCTAATATCCAACACAAGAACGGCAGATCCAGGCTAGCACTGAGGCCTAGCCGCGGACACATGGGCCTCCAGACACCGGCCAGGCGGTTTGGCTGTTGGAAGGGCATGTTCAATCCTCTTCACGCTAGTCCCGCAAAGAGCGGATGTACTAGTTTATATCCACTTGCACGAAAGAAAAGATCAAACCCAAGGTGCCAGATGTTCCGAGAGCGAAGCTGTCAAAAATCTCAAAGCCTCTTTGCATGGCAAGTATTCCCACATGGATTTAAATACGGATCCGAGCAACATCTTGATCAAGGCCAGCTATTCGTCAGGTCCCATCCTATTGACAACGAAGCTTTCCATCCTGGCTATGTACGGGGCAGGGGTGGGGGAGGCATTTGCGGCAGGTTGTCCACAGATAAATCAAGCCCGGTGCAGTAGTTGGTCTATATCCTGCTGGAAATAAAAAACAAACAAAAAAAAATTAGTGGTGAGACAGATGGGAGAACTCTGCTTTATTGGCGTCTGTGATCTTGTGTGCCTGCTATCCAGCAGAATGTTCTAGAATCACAGCTCACCAGCATGACACAGCACCTGTCATACAGACACATCCAGACAGTTAAGCAGAGTCTCGGCCACCGTTAAATCAAAGGCTGAAGTGATTATATAATAAAGCAGGACTTAAGACACAGTATTGAAACTCACTTTGTCAGGGGGGATTCTGGGGTTTAACACAGGTGTTGCAAAAGATAAATCTTTTTCAAATATCGCAAATCATTAATTCATAAATATCATTACATTTTACAATCTGAAGTTGCCTAGCCATAGTTAAAAATAAATAAATAAATAAAAATCTTGTCTCCATGTTGATTGTTGCACCACATTACAATATTCTGAAAAAAATATAGTAATATTTTTTTAAATATTTAAAAAAATATTATATTATTAATAATAGAAAATATATTATTATTT